GGGGCGGGGAGGGAGGGAGGGAGGGAAAAAGGGAAGGAGGGAAAAAGTTCCGAGTCGGGGAGAAAAGAAAGAGAAGGGGTTGGGGAAGGCTCCGCCGGGACGGCCCCCCCCCCCCCGGTTCTTCTTGGGTCCTTCCCGGCCCTTCGGCAGGTCCCAGGTGCCCTCTCTGACCTTGGAAGGAGAGCACAAGAGCCCACCCCAGCTCCCCCAGCCAACTCCGGCCCCAAGAAGCACTGCACTAAAGCCAACCCATCAGTTGATGGGGTAGGCATCATAGAATTGCAGAATCATAGAATGGTTTGGGTTGGAAGGGACCTTAAAGATCATCCAGTTCCAACCCCCCTGCCCTGGGCAGGGACACCTCCCACCAGACCAGGTTGCTCCAAGCCCCATCCAGCCTGGCCTTGAACCCCTCCAGGGATGGGGCAGCCACAGCTTCCCTGGGCAACCTGTTCCAGTGTCTCACCACCCTCACAGGAAAGAATTTCTTCCTGGTATCTAGTTAAATCTCCCCTCTTCCAGTTTAAAGCTGTCACCCCTTGTCCTGTCACTCCACTTCCTGACAAAGAGTCCCTCCCCAGCTCTCCTGTAGCTCCCTTCAGATATTGGAAGGCCACTATAAGGTCTCCCCAGAGCCTTCTCTTCTCCAGGCTGAACAACCCCAACTCTCTGGGGAGAGAATGGTCTGTGCCAGAAGGGACCTCCAAAGGTCATCTAGCCTGACCCCCCCGCAGTCAGCAGGGACACCCCCAACTAGACCAGGTTGCCCAGGGCCTCATTGAGCCTCACCTTGAATATCTCCAGGGAAGGGGCCTCAACCACCTCCCTGGGCAACCTGTTCCAGTGTTCCACCACCCTCATAGTGAAGAGCTTGTTCCCAATATCCAACCTAAATCTGCTCTTCAAAATGTATTCGAATGTATTTAAATGTAATTAAATAAACGTACAGCACCGCTGTGGTGTGAGAAAGGGGTTGCACCACCAGCCTGGAACTGGAACAGCACCAGTCTAGAACTGGAACACCACCAGGCTGGGTGAAGCCAGCCCACTGCAGCATCCACGACCCGAGCATCATTTCCACACAGCTCAATTTGGAGATAAGGCAAATACATAGCAAGCATGCACCCTTTATGCTTTAGGGCTGTGGAGGTTCAATGGGCAACACCGAGGTCAAACCAGTCCCTTTTCCATCCTTGTGGCGAGGGAACAGCCTTCACATACCTACACCCAGCAGACAGGCACCAGCGGCTGGAGTTACCACACCAGTTGCAGAGGAGAGGAGGGCAGGGAAAGCACCAAAGTGCTGATGGACACCAGGTGCCCACCAAAGCCCCTCCATCACCCCCCCATCTCAGCTGGACAGGAGGGAGAGAACATAACAAAAGGCTCCTGGGTTGAGATAAGGACAGGGAGATCACCCAGCAGTTACCATCACATGCGAAACTGACTAGGCTTGGGGAAAATCAATTTATTACCAATCCAATCAGAGGAGGATAATGAGAAATAAAAATTAAATCTTAAAACACCTTCCCCTGACCTCTCACTTCTTCCCCAGACTCAACTTCACTCCTGATTTCTCTTCCTCCTCCCCACCACTGCACAGGGGGACAGGGAATGGGAGTTGTGGTCGGTTCATCACACATCAGCTCTGCCCCTCCTTCCTCCTCAGGGGAGGATCCCTCACACTCTTCCCCTTCTCCAGCATTGGGTCCCTCCCACAGGAAGAAGTCCTCCATGAACTTCTCCAATGCAAGTCCTTCCCACAGGCTGCAGTTCTTCACGAACTGCCCCACTGTGGGTCCCTTCCATAGGGTGCAGTCCTACAGAGAGGAACTGCTCCAGTGTGGGTCCCTTGCAGGGTCACAAGTCCTGCTGGCAAACCTGCTCCAATGTGGGGTCCTGGCTCCACAAAGTCACAGGTCCTGCCAAGAGCCTGCCCCAGCACTGGCTTCCAGTGGGGTTACAGCCTTCATCAGGCATCTACCTGCTCCACCATGGGGTCCTCCCCAGGCTGCAGGTATCTGCTCTATGGAATTCCCACAGGCTGCAGTTCTTCACGAACTGCCCCACTGTGGGTCCCTTCCATAGGGTGCAGTCCTACAGAGAGGAACTGCTCCAGTGTGGGTCCCTTGCAGGGTCACAAGTCCTGCTGGCAAACCTGCTCCAATGTGGGGTCCTGGCTCCACAAAGTCACAGGTCCTGCCAAGAGCCTGCCCCCGCCCTGGCTTCCAGTGGGGTTACAGCCTTCATCAGGCATCTACCTGCTACACCATGGGGTCCTCCCCAGGCTGCAGGTATCTGCTCTATGGAAACCTCCATGGGCTGCAGGGGGACAACCTGCGTCAGCATGGTCTTCATCATGGGCTGCAGGGGAATCTCTGCTCCAGTGCCTGAAGCATCTCCTCCCCCCTTCTTGACTGACCACGGTGTCTGTAGAGCTGTTGCTCTCACTCCTCTCAACCATCAAAGGCACTCTGGCAGGATGTTCTTCTGTACCACAACACACCTACAGCCCGTGTTACATGAACAGAGAAGAGAGAAGAGAGTAAGGAAAGCTACAGAGGTGGGAGAAGAAACAAGCCCCAGGCAGTGGGTGTCAGGAGTGTTCTGCTGTTCCTTCACTATCACGTGGCCTAGAAGTGTGTTAATTGTGCCCCTGTGCATCAGTAGGAACAAGGAGGAGAGGCCAGAGGGTGCCCAAAACCACGACACACAAGTAACAAGGAGAGATGACAGTTCTGTTGAATATTTTAATATCTGCATTGCCTTCATAGCGCAATTAAAGCAATCTTTAAAATTCACTTATTACAAATGTTTGTCAAGTCTATTTTTCCCCAGAAACATTTTTTTTTTCTTACTTCCTTGCACATACACCCAAACACACTATAAAAACCTCATTCATAACATCAAAGGAAGGGCAATCATCATTCATGTAAACATCTTTCTTAGAGTTATCCATTTTTTTTTTTTTAAAAGTCATGAATAAACCTACAGATGTTCAGTAAGGCTCATAGTTCGAGTACAAATGTCATAAAACACCTATCAAGTACTGTATACAAGTTAAATACTCCGGGGTTAACTGTTAACACGCGTGTAAGCTTACCCCAAGGATTATTCTTTAGCACTTAGTTCCTCAGAACAGAGACACCCAGTAATTATGGGCTAAAGAGTAGTAAAATAGCAGAAGGCCCAGCAGAAACTGTTAGGTAATACACAATTTTAGTCTGGATCTTAGCTCAAAGAGTTAAACTCCGTACAGGTACAGTAGGAAAGGTTTTCTAGGGAGGAAATCAGCAGAAAGGAGGGATGGGTCCGTTTGTACAATATCACGGAGGGACAAGCTGAGAGGTATGTCCTGAAGATGTGACTGGCCTTGCTATTGCAGTTATTTATGACAGCCGTGTGTAGTGCTGCATAAATACTTTCCCAAATAGCAGAAATGACCATTCGTATTTGTAAAGAGAATTTGTTGCATCTCCCTTTAAAAAAAAAAAAAAAAAAAGATCTACTTATTGGTAATCAATTACACTTGCATCTTACAAAAAGTCATCCTTTTAAATTTGGTTTAGATCTCACTGGAACACTTTTTTTTTTTTAAATATTCATTCTACCATGAAAATATTTCATACAAACATCGTTTTACATACAAATATGTTAAAACTCGTGAAGAGGGTCTTCCCACACTCATGATTTTTATGGCTTGAACATTTAATTGCTTAGATTTTCTTGTTTATATATATTTCTCCTGGAAAAAATGAAAAAAAGAAGAAGTAGTTACAGTAAAATTGGTAGAGAAAGAGGGCAGGAGCTTCAATTGCCTGAAGACAGAAGAGCGCCAAGAAGAGGGTCCATTCAACAGATAGTGACCTTAGTGTTCAAAACCTTTGATCTGGGGCAAGTAAACATGCACTCAATCTTGCACCTTTTTTTTTTTTTAAAAAAAAAATCCCTTATAAGACCGCTTAGAAACGCTTTGTCCAAAAATATAGTTCTCATGTTTCCAGTACACAAAGCAAAAGGAACAAGTTCTCCCCGGGGCTCAGGTGAGCACGAAGCCCACCTACACCCACAGGAGGACCAGCCTTCCTCCCCCCAGATGCTCTCAGCATCCCACAGCGAGGTGGAAGTGAGGAAGAGGCGTCTAACGCAGCACCCCAGCATATAAGGAGACACTTCAACAACATTTGTTTTCAAAGCAATCGGGGTGGGTTTTTTTTTTTTTTGTTCATTTTTAAGTGCTTGGAGGTGAATTCCTCAGGCACCCACAGCTCCAGCGATTCCGCCGTGCCGGAGGAAAACAAAGCAGCAGATAACCAGCTCTGTACGACTCGCTACCTCACCGCAACAGCAGCATCTTCTAAAAAGACTAGCAGATTGAGAGAAAGGATAGGAATCACAAGAGGTCTCTGTGACAGAAGAGACACCATACGCCTCCTAGTGCAACCCAAGTTTCCACCGAAGGACAAGGGCAGCCAATTGGGAAGGAAACGGAAAAGTGGTGATTCCCACCGCTTTTCGTTCCGGCTGCTCTGCTCCTCCAGTGCCTGGCACGAGGGTGAGAAATCCCTGATGGTGCTCTCGCTTCCACACCAGAAACGTGCTACAACAGCCCCAGGAGAAATAAAAAACAACAACACAGCCACTGGCCAACGGTGTGCAACACCCAAAGAAAGCTCCGCACCCGAAAAGGCTGCACTCGGGAGCAGGGCTGCCTCATCGCTCCCCAAACACGCCACCTCCCAAAGGTCTCCACACCTCTACCAGTCACCCAGGAGCTGCATCTGGGCCAAAAAGTCAAAAAGCTATCATCACAGCTCTCGCCCTCACGGCTGAAGAGCCACATCCAGGTATTCCCTTCGACTTTTTCAACAGTGAAGACTTAACGTGCGTTACATGCAGGTTAAGGTATCTTTTGCTACCACACAATAACCAAAAAAAACCAAAAAAAAAAAGGAAAAAAGCATTTTCAGATTTGTGAAGGAAATTCAGGTATTTTAATAGATCCCCAAAAGTAAAATGATAGCACGAGACTCAACTTGAGACCACCCTTTTCCCCCCTCTCATCCAGAGGAGTGACCCAGCAGCAGGTAGCCCTCAGCTGGAACGTCTCATGCCCTCTTGTCTCCAAGATTAACCACCTCCACAGAAAACTAAGCTTCTGTATTCTTGGTGACAAAACACAGTGCTGCCGTAGCAGGAAGATCCTTTTCAGATTTTTTTTTTTCTTAAAAAGAGACAATCAGCAGCCTCTAACACAGGCTGAAATAGGCTCCTTCTCATAAAGGAGCTCAGGTAACAACCCTCCCATCACAGAGGAACCATGTGCAGCACTGCAGACAAAAGGCAGACCATCTGTACCTGAAAAAAGCAGCAATTCCAGGTTCTTTTATGCCATTCTTTAGTCACAACGGGTATTCTGAGAGCCAGCTGACAGGCATCAGCTCTTCTTCCAGTTTCTGGGCCGAAGGGACAGGTCTTTGGCCAGACTCTGGGAAGTGGAGCTTCTTTACTAACTGCATATTCACCACCAGTCAGCTGCATCCACCAGCCTCAAATGGATTGCTTTGCATAACGACTGCTTCCTCTGCTCCAAATCAGAACCACGTTGTGGTGTGGGTCTTGTGTGACTGCTGATAAATGGGTTTGCTAAGCTGGTCTCGCTATGGAGTGAGCCCCAGAAGCTGAGTTGCAATACGTTGACCAAGTTAAGGCATTATTTGGAGTTTTGTAACTAACCTGTGTTTGAATCTGTGGTTGCCAACGCATAACCTCTCAAAAACCTCTGAAGGACACACACTGAGCCCTGAGCCCTTTCGTTACCCAGCAGGAAAACCCATCCCAACCACCTCCACTCTAACAGATCACAAAGAAAAAGAAAACAAAGAAGAACGAAAAGGCTTGGTCCTGAATCAAGCCAAAGCAGCTTTATCGTCACAACTTTTATAGAAGGTTGGTCACTGAAGAAGGGATCTATAGGAGGACCAGTAGATTTTAACGGAGCAGAGAGAGAAAGGACAGTAGAGCTAATGGAGACAATGGCCACGGAGGTGGCATACTACCAGGCTACAAGTGTAAGCAAGAGCAAGAGGATATGCTTGACTGTCACCAGTTTAACAGCTTTTGAGAACACACAGAGGATATCTCAGCACCTTCTTTTTTTCTCTAGCGTTTCCCTATTTTAGGACTCAACCTTGAAAACTGATGTGCAAAGAGCACCCTTCTGTATTTATCTCAAAGATCAGGCAATCTGAAGACCGACAAATCTATTAAAACGTAAGCAACTCCACAGGAAGAGGAGATAGCAGAAGCATCGGAGATTGATCAGGAACGAAGCCAAAGGAGCTCTAGAGACCAGAACATTTTAAGCACGATTCTCTAGCAGGCATAAAGAGGCCACCAGTCCAAAGCAGGTTATCAAGACTGTGGAAGGAATTACCATCCATTCGCAGCAGGGTGCAGTCACAGATCTCCCCTCTCCTCTTCCCCTGCACATAAGCACAAGCCTCAACTTTGCAAACCTCATGGTCCTGGCAGAAGGATCCACTGGACACACACAACATCTCACCACCAGGGAGGCACGCGTTGCTGCAGATGGCTGAAACAGTAATGGGCTGAAATCATGACCTGTGGGCAGGCAGGGAAAGATCAAGACACGGGTATTTCTTTTTGGAGGTTGATTTGCTGAAGCCGTGCTGCCCATCAGCCTTTGGCAACTCCCCCTCACCTGCGAGGCTCGGTCCCGTCTCCGTGCACCCTGAGCTGTCACCTCTGCCAGCCACCTGCCTTGGAGGAGAAGCAGAGCTGTGGCCCGAGCCTCCAGGGCGAGGAGATGGGTAGTGCCAAAGGCTGACATTCAGATCACTGCTGGAAGAATGTCCAAAAGCCCTGAGCCTACTTGTGTCCTCCCAACTCCACCACCACCCAGCGCAGAGTAGCTCTTGTACAAGCTTAAATGATGAGGTGCTGGAAAAGGTTTGTCATCAGTCACGGAGACTAAACGGAGCCCCAAGTGAGAGGGGTCATTATTAACTTTGTAGAGGTACCACATAGCAAGGATTCTCAGACTGCACAAAACAGCAACCTCATCCTTCCACTTGCAGGTACCAACCCAACGCATTCTCCCTGTCTAGCTCCCCAGACACCTCCAACCCTTCAAGCAACCAACCAAAACGTGTTGCAATAGAAAGGTAGCTCTGATTTCCAAATCATTTATGTTACATATATACAAACTTTTATTTTTTTTAAAACTACAAACATTTAAAGAAAGTGTTGCAAATGCATTTGAGTTTTTTTTTCCCAAGCTGCTAAACCCAAAAGAGAGCATTGGAGTCCCAGAAGGGTTCCTGTATCCATGACTTCTCTCTTATACAGCATTAGGCAAGAACCAGTACAGTATCTAAAAAAAATGCACAACAATTTCCCTATCCCTGAAAAACCCCAGAACACAGCCCTGCAGATGAATTTTCACAAGCCCCCAACTGTTGGCTGCAACAAAGCTATGGATTGACTGCTGTTTCTAAATATGAGCAGTGAGTGATGTTTTTACATTCATTGTTTGTCTTTTCAAAAACAATCTTTTCACATCTTTTTTTTTAAAAAAATCTTACCTTGATATCTCATACTATATTAATTTACTGCGTCTTAAACCAGTACTACTAAAAGATGGCTACAAGGCTATATTCTTTGCCAACTGAACACGTACAAAAGCTACAGCTCTCCTTAACCAAGTACTACAGCCTGCCCTCAAATACATACACCTCCTTCAAGAGAATTCACATCAGATGCAAATATCTCATGGCTAGAATTTTTGCCTTGAGAACTGGCCGCTTTAACCGGTGAAACACACAAACCAACTCATGGACACTAATGCAAGTAATGTGCTTGCCTTCCAGAACATGAACTTCTGAAAGTCCTTCAAAAAGCGAATCTTTTTTTTCTTTTTTTCTCCTTTCAGAAAAATCTTCATGCAAAGAACAGCTTCATTTGCGTGTCATAATCATAAATTAAATAGAATAAGCCAGCCGTAAAGGCTAGATAAATATTAGGTTTGGACATGTTGCTATACTATTTAGAGAGCCACAGAGACCAACACACAGCACTCTCACATACACACACAAGCCTTTCCACTAGTTAGAAAGGATTTTCTCCTGCAAAAGAGGATTTTTAGAAAGAACAACGTTCAGACAAGAGGAAAGGGGAGTTAAAACCCAGCCTCCTATATGCTAATAAATAAACTGCTCTATTGCAAGATTCAGATCAAAGGTTTAAAAAGGCAAAATTATGCTACTATTAGAGAATATCAAAATATTACTGTTATCATCACAAGTGGCATATATGCAAAATGCAGTTGCACAATAATGCCTAGGCAGATAGAGAGCAACACTAAGTCTGCCGACTAAAAGTGAACGATATACCCATTTTAGTTTTCTGTCTAGTCTTTTGGCATCTTTGCATATGGTGCAAAAGCAGAAGCTACCAAAGAATATCACGTCTCGTATAGAATATTAAATAATTTCTCCAGATAAGACTGGTGCAACGCTAGCTAATTTTAAATCTGCTATGAGTAACACAGTCAAACCTAGTTAGTATGCAAGAAACTTATCTCTTAACACAGAATGCAAAGTTATGATGCAACAGCATGAACAATCCCTGGTTGTCCAGTTTTCAGTAGAAAGGTAGTGCATAGATCCAAGTTTCTATTTCAGTTTGCTGAACTGGAGGAGGAGGAGGAGCTCCTCCCGCTTCACTTTTGCTGGGCAGCCTGGAAAGCTTTCAGTTCCAGCTGGTACCACTCCGGAGCTTCTGGCCCGTTCTGCCCGACGGGGTTGTGATCGTATCCGTAAGCCACCGTTAATTCTTCATCCTTCTCCACGGCCCTGATGGTACGGATACACTTGATAGGCCCAAAACGAGGATGAACAAACCTAGATAGAGAAACAAACACCTTGGCTAGGCTCAGCTGTCCATTCACAGACTCCGTTAGCCCCGTTTACAGTTCCAGAAGCCACACCACTCACAGTTCAGGGTTATATCAAATAATCTAATACCAGGTGAGTAGATTGGTTTGAGTCAATCTTATGAAGACAGAAGTAACCTCCCATGGCAGGGGGGTTGGAACTCGATCTTTGAGGTCCCTTCCAACCCTAACCATTCTATGATTCTATGATTCTAATAAAGGCAAAACCATCAGCGTATTAGATCAGCTTACCCTAACCATTCTACGATTCTATGATTCTAATAAAGGCAAGACCATCAGCGTATTAGATCAAGTTGATCTAATGAGTTGATCAAGTACTTGAAATTTTTCAACAGTCCCACAACGTTGCTTGTTTGTAATAAGTAAACAGAACAAAGTTAGTGTTACTAAGCAAACCACCACCTGCTTTCAGAGGTAAACATCTGCATGACAGGAAAACGGTATAGATTATGAGAGACTAGAGAGCATGGAAAATTGCTCATCTTAATTTCCACAGTACAGGTTACCTACCAATCCATCACAACATACTTCTCCCAGGGTCCCACAGGAAAGGGAACTGGCTTATTTAATGAAGGAAAACTATTTTCTACCTATGTATCTCCACAGGTCTGTTAGTTTATACACTGCTACGAAGATATTTATACCCTTGAGCATATGTTCAAACCAAAAGTTTCCGAGAGCTCTGCACCAACTGCAGAGCAGCAAGGTTTTTTGAGTTTCAGAAATGGCAGCATGTTTGATAGAGCTGGTCGAGCAGCCCAGCAAACATGGTGCAGTCCTACCCAAGCTAGGATTGAGAGAGCTGCACTCCTGCTTTTTCGAATCAAGGCAGCTCCTAAAGTTCATGATCAAAATTAATAGAGTTGCAAATCTCAAGATATTCCATGAAGTCCCAAGAGGCACCAAGCTCCTGCAACACCAGGCAGTTCCCAACTGGACCCAGGTGAGCAGGAACTCCTCCCAGCACCTGGACCCCTTACTCCCAAGTCCCATTCAGGTGCCCAGAAACACCCCGTGAGCCCCCAACCACCAGGCTAGAAATTCCACTCCCAAACACGGGTCTCTACTTACGGGTCATAGATGCAGTTTGGAGTGAAAGAATGGTTGGCCTTATGCCCCAGCGAGGCACAGTACTTGGCGGCGTGGTTGTAGGGCTCTGGCACATCTATGACCGTTTCCTCATCCAGGGATATTGTATTTCCATTGAGGGCCCAGTCTCTGCTGTCTACCTAGTTTGCAAGGGGAAAAAATCCAGTGTGTGTGTGTGTGTGTGTTGGGGGAGGTGTCAGCTTTGCCAGCAGTTTGAAAGCAAACATTCCAATATACGCAACTAAAGCTTTTCCTGGTGTATGCCATTAAAAAAAATAACCCAACCACTTTTTTTTTTTCTTTATACATAGCTAAACATGCAATTTCTTTCAATAAACCCCATCATATTAAATCTTAAGGGTGAGAAGGGGGCGGGTGTAAAATCCTACTACAAGGAGAAGATTTCAGAAGGCGCAATGAAAATTCAGACTGACTTTTTTGTCTCCTTTACCTCCTGGTGTGTAATTCGCACTCCGTTGTAAAAGGACATAACTGTACTGGCTTCCGCTGCTATTTTCGAAAATAATCCTTCTCCAGCACTGGAAATTAGAGAGACATCAACATACACCCTACAAGGAGAAAAGGACATGGCATTAGGGACTGGCTACAGTTTTCATTTTCAAGAATTATCGTCACAACACCACTGGCACAGAGACTAATACTTCAATATAATAATCAAGCTAATAATAATCATTCACAACCTCCAAATGCAACTCCTCCTCCTTCCTCTCCTCCATGATTTCACTGTTTTGGCAAAACAGAGATTTGGTGGGAAGTGGGGGCTGACTTTATCTATTAATGTGAGATGAATTTTTCTTTAAGTGCCAGTCTACTGTTAAGTCCTCAGCAACGGCTTCAATCAGGAACACCCTCAAAAACCTACCAGGATCCCAGAGGTCCCCAACTAAGCTGAGGCTGCTGATGTGTACGTGCACAGACGAGCAAGAGTTTGTGGAAGTGGAGTTCATGGTTCGTGGACCAGTGGAGTCCAGGACTTGACCGAACATGTCTTTGAAATGCTAAGAAATTATCCTACATTAATCTCTTCAAAAGTATTGCTGTGTTCTATCCACTAGAGTGCAATTTTACTGTGCGAACCAGAAAGAAATTCAATCGAGTCAAACGCTGACTGATGTGCAGTAATGGGTTTCATTTCACAAACCCTTACGTGCTTTTAAAGCAAAAAAATAATTAAATGAGAAAAGGTTTGCAAAATTAGGCTCTAAATATGTAACAGCAAAGAAAAATGGACAATATGGAAAGAGGGAAGAAGAAAAAAAGCCTACCTCTCTGACTCGTAAGGATCAGGAAGAAGTGCATTTGTAGAAATGCAGGATGAAGTAGATTTGTCAAAACTGTATACTGGGCCTAAAAAAACAACCAGAAATCAACAAAGGAAATAAACTAATTGGCAGTACTGAAAGCATGCAACCCTTAACTTAATCAAGGCATTCAAAAATTAAATTTTAATGGCTGCAAGAAATAAATGCCGTGCTTCCGAAAAAAGGTATTTAAATAGAACTGCAACCATAAAAGTTTCTTGATTGTTTTTTTCCCCTCAACATACTAGAGCAGCAGTATTATCACAAAAAGGTGATATATATGTTCTTCAAACTACTAACTTTTAAAGGAGGACTGGATAGTCTTTCAAAACTGACCCTCCCAGAGTCTCTAGTTAAAACTAAAAAGCAAAGCAAAATTTTAAAGGATATATTCGATAACACATTAATTATAAAAAAATCTTGGCCTATTTCAAATATGAAATGTTTTCTAGTCCAAATCCTGAAGATATTTCAGCCAGAAGATAATGTTCAGTAATCACAAAGTACACTTGCCACAGTCACTTATTTCCTGCCATTAATAAGCAACTCAGTGGTACAGCTCTAATTATATCCTTACACCCCTCTCCAATCAACTGCCAGAGGACTATGGGGGAGATAGGGTAAGATGAAAGTGGAAATTAGATGGGGAAAAAAAAAACCCAAACCACAATACTACATAGTTTGATAAAAGGCCATTGTCCCTGGTGTTCAAGAACTGTCCTGGCTGAAGGCAGCTTTCTCCTAAGTGTAATTTAATCCTATTTACAATGCACAACTGTACCCTCTCAGAAGCTATCTTTTAAGTTACATTTTGATTTGCTATTACAACTAAGAGATTTAAAAAAATAAAAAGTCACATGCATTTGCTTCTCAACACCTTCTCCCTGAGTTTTATGTTCTTACTTCATACTAAGACAGACAACCTTTGCTGGCAAAACAGTAAACGTGCTAGCATAGTCTCTGTTTATTATTCATGGTCCTACCCACAGCTTAACCCACTCACCTCCTGAGCATCACCTACACCTCACAGCAACAAAACTTCTCCAGAACTACAGGCCCAAGGCACCGCTGCCCTGGAGAAGGAGGACTGGCTACCCCGACCGTTTCATAGCCACTTTCTATCAGCAGACAGACCAAAGGGAGCTGGTGAATCAGGCTGTTACACAACAACTGAACCCAGTTCACTAATTCCAATCCCCATGTCCTTTCACTCCCCTAATACAGATGCCAGAATATTCACAATGCAAACGTTCACTTGCACGAAGCCAACTGACACAGCTACAACCAAACCGTGGCCTCCCTTCTCCCCTTCTGGTTGTTTTACTAACAAAACAATGCTGGTTTAACGTGGTCAGGTTCTCATGCTGGCCCCGATGGCAACGGTGTGGGGATAGAAGGGTTATGGAAGGCAGCTCAGCCACACCACCACATGGGTCGCTTCCCGTTTGTTCCCAGAGCAAAGGGATGGCTCCAAGTGCCTTCCTGTACACATTTATAATTTAGAAAAAGGGCTTCTCACTAATAGACTCGTTATCTCATCGCAGCCAGCCTTTAGAGTCTCTAACGGGGAACACTATAGAAACCGAGCTGTTTGCAGCAAAGAGCTGGTAGCAAGAACACCAATTTCTGTGTTAGCTGAACTTACTGCCTGGTACTACTTCAAACTGAGGTTTCCCGTCCTCCACAGATGTCAGAGTGGCCAGCTTTGCTTCTATCATCTCTCCATCTATGAACCTTCCAGAATAGGCAGTCTTTCCATCAGGGTACACATAGGCTATTTTCTCTCCGGTCATCTCCCCTTCTTCATTCACTTCTCCCACAAGGCTGCCTCCATCCTGAAAGCACAGGCAAGAAAGAAGAGGCAAAACATTTAAGTATATTTTTTTTACTATCTTCAGTAAACAGAAAGGATTTTTCCCATTTTTTTTAAAGAAGCAATCAGTACAGTAAGTTCAGATGTGAGATCACGGAAATGAGTGAGAAACAGACATGTGAAGAAGGTGGGTGGAGTCATTCCAGTCAGAATAAAACTGATAAAAGAAAGGAACAGTGTTTTCTACTTTGTTTGAAATAGGCAAAACCCAAGGTCTTTCCTTGCATGTGACACAAATACTGAGTTTCAATTGGCAAAATGTTTATGTGAAGACTCTGCACACCAAGGCCCAAAGCCACACACAAACTTTGTCTGAGCTGTTTTTAGTACGATACTGGGCTGTAGGAAACAAAAAAAAGTTAAAGCACTGCCTCGCTTACTGCTAATTCATGGTACATCAAAAGACTTGAGCCTATCAAGAAAAAAAACAGAAAAGACTGGAGAATTTCTCTGTCCCCAGCATCCTCCCCACAGTGTCAAGTGGCACTCAATGAGAGCTGTGTGCTGGAAGCCATCATCAGCAACACTTTTCCACTCTAAAGTTTACACATTTTAGCCCTGGGCTTTGCCATCTGTGATTTGCCCACAACTCCAGTTAGGCCTATTTATGGAATTACAGAAGGAGATGCAGAGATTCGCACACGTCTGACAACTTCAGGTGGTTATTTCAAAAAGGACAAGGAAACATCTTCAAATAATGCCCTGGAGCAAAACCAGCAGGTGTGATATGGAAACAGGCGGATTTAGATCAAGATCACTGTGCACAGAATCTATTTAAGAGTGGCACCGTTTCATTCAACTCCAAGGAGGAAACAGCTTCAAACGTACTGCAGTAAGGAACAGTGAACCTTAATTTGGGGTAAAAATTTGTGCACTATTAGCATCATGCACAGAACCATGCATAAACAAAGGGCAAAGTGTTTTTGAAACACCTTGTATCCTCCATTTTGGCAAGATGATAATAACAAAGAACCTCTAAATACCCACATTTCTAGAAGATTCAGCAACACTTCGTCAGCTGGAAGATGAAATAGGAGACACGTGACCTGAAGGGTCAAGCTGTGTGTATTTTATACACTAGTACTGGAAAGCTGCTACCTGTTTGGCGGTGTACACCAAGCATTTGTTAATTCTAATGCACATACTTAATGGCAATAGTGAAAAACAGTAAATAAAATGAACAGCCAAACAGCATTTGAAATGAATCTGCAATTAAAGTATGTGCAATATGTAGCACAGGAATAGACTAGGTTTGACCAGCAGCTTAATTACATGCAGATGTTTCCCCCTCCTCCGCACAAGGTAAAGATTGAAAGGCTCAAGTCTAGAGTGTTGTGTAAAACTGAACAGGAATTATTAAAAAAAAAAAAGTGACGTCTAATTTGTTGGGGGAAATCAGACTTCACAACATTCACAACCCCTACAGAAAGTGATAAAGTCTCCCCTCCTAGTTAAATAAGAGCTGCAGGTTATAACAGCTCGCAGAGCTCCCATGCTCCTCACCTGCAGCCAAAGTGGCAAAATCACCAGCTCAACCTTCCCAAAGAGCTACAAATAAATGCAATTCCATGGGGCTGGGTACCCTGGAAGATGAAAATAGTGGAAGCACCTCGCAGCCTTGCTGAATCCTGTCTACTGGGCAAACATTCAACACTGAGAAGGTTTAACTGTATATTGGATTATTCAAAATGAGAAGGCACGGGTCTTGACTTTTGGATAGCTAGGTCATGCTGGATATTTGTTTCAGCTGGGTAGAAAAGAAAGATATATAATGGTACTATTCTGCAATAAGGAGAGCAGGTGGTCACACTTACCGGGTAATAAATCCAACAAACTCCATGGCGAATGTTGTCTTTATACTGCCCTTTGAATATCAGCCGCCCATCGCTGTCGTACTCCTGGGCTGGTCCATTCAGCTCTCCATCCACATATGTGCCATGAAGGACCACTCCATCCTCGTAAGTGTAGATTCCCTGGCCTTGCAGGGCATCATCAACATAGTACCCTTCCAGGGTGCTGGTAAAGAGAGAAAGAAAACAGTATTGAAAGCCATCCCTGGAGGTATTTAACAGACCAGTAGATATGGTGCTTAGGGACATGGTTTAGTGGTGGTTTTGGCAGTGTTAGGCTAATGGTTGGACTCAATGATCTTAAAGGTCCCTTCCAACCTAGATGATTCTATGACTACTCACCTCTCTAAGAGGCAAACCCAAAGCCTCAACACAAGGCACAGCACAACCCTGCTCCTCTGCTCATCACTCTACATATTACTGGTACAGACAGGCTGAGGGGAAGCTTTCAAAAAGAGTCAGGCCCTAGGAGGAGGTAACTGTTGACACCTGGTTTGCTGTTGCTGGGTATCCTACAACCCTCCCCAAAAAGCAGACCACCCCTGCAACAATCACAGCTTTTCTTCATTTTCTTGGTGGCCTCTCTCCAAGAGCCCAGGCTGGGACATCACTTCCAGCATCCAGGCTCTGACCCCTGCCAGGCATCACTATCCCCCCTCTCTGAAACCCTGATGTGTTTGCTAGTTTCAACCAAATTCGAGGGTTCCACAAAAGGAAGGGGAGACTAGCAAGACAAACCTGACTTCTCTGGAAGGCCAAGATGAAAAACAGAACCTTTATTTTTTTTTTCTACAGACCTCCAAAGGCAGCAAACAACTTGCCCTGTCCTTTCGATGGGCACGGCATCGTTCCTCTCAGTTACACTGCTGAGCTTTGTTTATCAGCTGCGGCAGCAAATCACAGCAGCGAACGGACGCTCGTGATCAAAGAAGAAATTATTGCTCAAAGAGGCCACTCTCACGTTAGGATTTTCTACCTCCTACGTTTGGATCTTCACTGACATCCCCTCCGGTGAGGTGACGCCAAACTGCCCATACAAGTGGACCAGGAAAGGGCACAAACTCCAACCTGCCACCGGTTAGCTCTCTAACGACAGGCTTAGCAGCAATCTGTACTGGATTTGCTAAAAGCACTGGCATTTTTCATGTTTTTTTCTATCACAAAGGGAACACAGCCTGTCAAACAGAACTAGCGCCACGCTTGGATTTGAACAAAGAAACATTTCACTTCGGTTTTGTCTCGCAAACCCTTTGGAAAGGGTGCAGGGGTATCTCGCAATCTGCTTTGCTTCCTTTCTTAAAATAAAAAGCTGCTGAGAGAAACTACAAATAATGAAAATCTAACTGTAAAAGAGGATCTACTCAGCTCTTTCTTTCTCAGGTTAGGGCCAGCATAAGGAAATACAAACTGTTTTTCTTTTTCCCCGGCGTGTTCAGCTAACAGCCAGCTGCAGTGCACACACTTCCACTGCCTTAATTCTCTTCCTGATGCAGACTTCTAAGGTATAAGCCCAAACAGCGTCTGGGAGCACATGACTCTATATACATGTTTTACAAAACGTGTTTTCAAGAGCTGTGGAAGGAATGTTTTCTCTGAATTAACTTCCCGGTTTCTAAAGCGTCACTCTCTGTTTGGCGAACTGGCTGAGGTTTCCAGAGGAAAATACACCACAGTAAGAGAAGGCACGTTATCCCCGACAGATAGTGTGTTTGGAAACAAGACTTGAGCTTTGCTTTTTCACAGCTCCCTTCATAGCCATGCTGTTTTAAACGGCTCCTTTCCTCGCACCATGTGTCGTCCCACCGCAACACAAACCCCAATGCGGAGCAGGAAGGGGCAGGAAGGCTGTTTCACTTCCCACTCGGATTAATTTATTGATCCAGGTTCCTACAGAGCTGCATAGGCAGCCAGAAGGAGCAGAGCAGATGAGGGAACCACCAGAAACCAGCACACTTACTCGACTACAAATGACACCACTTTCTCCTCTGGTTTATCACAGATCACCAGATTTGAACATCACCGTAGCTGGCACCACAGGCAGAGTCCACATGTAGGATTACTCTTTAAAAGAAGCAGCCATGTCCAGTTTAGGTAATGAAACAGACCAAAAAACCTTCTTGTTAACTTCCAACTAATATCCATTAAAGCTAACAAATCGCTAAATTACAACAGTGCTTCAGCACTGGAAAAATTATCTTTTTTTTTTTACTGTAACTCAAATTTCTAGGCTTTCTTTCTTTGTATTAAGCTCCAAACAATGTCCAAAAGATCCACCTCTTTCTACTCTCACCTAAGGAAATCAACAGAAAGATACCTAAAGAAAAGAATTTAATGTCTTTGAACCTTGCCTAAAAATGAGGTTCTCTAAAACTTCCATACTCCTCACAGTTTTTGGAGGTTTTATTTCCCCCCCGCCCTTCTCCACCTAAAAATGAGGTTCTCTAAAACTTCCATACTTCTCACAGTTTTTGGATGTTTTATTTCCCCCCAGCCCTTCTCCACCATCTAAAGGGTGGGTTGAAGGATGATGGAGACAAACTCTTTTCAGTGGTTCCCAGTGACAAGACAAGAGGCAACAGGCACAAGCTGGACCATGGGAAGTTCCACTCAAATACGAGGAAGAACTTCTTTGGGGTGAGGGTGGCAGAGGCCTGGAAGAGGCTGCCCAGGGAGGGTGTGGAGTCCCCTTCTCTGGAGATCTTCAAGCCCCACCTGGATGCCATCCTGAGTGATGTGCCCTGGGCAATCCTGCTTTGGGAGGGGGGTTGGATTAGATGATCTCTAGAAGGTCCCTTCCAACTCTGACAATTCTGTAATTCCATGCTCCAAGTTACATCAAGAGACCCCAATCCCTTCATCCTTCATCCCTCGCTCCCTGATCTCCCCCCTTTCCTTCCAACTCTGACAATTCTGTGATTCCATGCTCCCAGGTACTAAGTTACATCAAGAGACCCCGATCCCTTCATCCCTCGCCCCCTGATCTCCCCTCTTTGCCTCTATATGGGAACATTGAAAACTTTTTTTTTTTTAAAATAAGCCCATTCCCTACTGTGCTCCGGGAGATGTCTGTTTACAAGAGTTTCTCATTAGGGGAGAAGTGGATCTGCAGCTCGGTGCCAAACACAGCTCTCACCCTTATTGCCCAAAGCCTTTTGCAAAGTGCACTCCAGCAAGCCTGAGCACCGCCGAAAGCTCAAGCACACCATCCAAAACAGAGAGCACGCCAGAGGTGAAACCTCCCTCTCCCAAAGAATTATGTTGGGTTTTGCTGCATTTTTGAAGGGGGAGGGAAAAAAAAAAAAACACCCACAGATATTTCACTCCAGGTTTCCACTCCTTTAAATAATCAACAGGAAGGTAAAAATAAGCCCATTCCCTACTGTGCTCCGGGAGATGTCTGTTTACAAGAGTTTCTCATTAGGGGAGAAGTGGATCTGCAGCTCTGTGCCAAACACAGCTCTCACCCTTATTGCCCAAAGCCTTTTGCAAAGTGCACTCCAGCAAGCCTGAGCACCGCCGAAAGCTCAAGCACACCATCCAAAACAGAGAGCACGCCAGAGGTGAAACCTCCCTCTCCCAAAGAATTATGTTGGGTTTTGCTGCATTTTTGAAGGGGGAGGGAAAAAAAAAAAACACCCACAGATATTTCACTCCAGGTTTCCACTCCTTTAAATAATCAACAGGAAGGGGGCAGACATTCCAATAAAGGAAAAAAAAAGAGTTTTCACCGAGGCAAACGAGGCAGCCAATCCTATTTCCCAACACTCAAAAAAAAAAAAAAAAAGAGAATAAGCTAGAATGGTTAGGCTGCTGCCAGCCCGGTGTCTGAGAGGACTCAGCTACTCCCAAATACCAGAGCTGCAGCAGTTCAGCTGTCAGCCTCTGCCGGCCGTCTGCCAGGGAAACAGATCCAGGAATGCCAAAACCAGCTAACTCACTGCCCTGAACCACACCGTACTGCAAGGGGAGAGACTTCTGGAGAAATCTGGGGGATTTTCATTTCTTTTCTTCGTAAACTCTCAGCCTCAGCCTGTGGCAGAGTTGATGGAAACAGCACGTCCTGTTATTATGCCAGGTCATTCCTCCCACAACACATCACAACGCCTGGACCATCCACTCCAGAGATGGAGTGGTCCAGAGATGGTCCAGCTCTCGCCAGCTGGACACGGCGAGGTAAACTGCAACTCCTAACCACAGCCACTGCTCGGTTAAGGCTGCTTTAGCTAACCTAAAATAAGCTTAAGGCAGTTTATAAAAACATCCCGTTTTTCAAAAACCGTATTACAGACTTGGTTTTTTGTGTATTTTTATCCCGCTAGTTCCTGAAGTTACACAGTAGCCAACTGTTCCGTTTTTTAAGGGTTATGAAAAATATAAAAAAAAAAGAAAAAAAGAAAGAAAAAAAGAAGAGCTGGCAACACTGAAGTGGTAGAGAAAAGGCTCAGCAGCAATGTGAGTTTTCCCACGGAGCACTGCCTGTACCCTGGCTTACTTGGAGGAGCAACCCTGTAAACAAAGTGGTGGGTCAGTTTCTGTGACTGTACAATCAGCAACCGCTCTGCTGAGATCACCAACCAGCACAGAAGCATTATGTACATGTGTCCATAGAGACGCTGTCTGCCAACTTTAAAAAAAAAAAAAAAAAGGCTATTTTAGAGAGGTCAGCTGCTGGGCAGTACTGATTTTCAGTTACTCACACAAGATTTAATAAGCCCATTACCAACAACAGTGGGGATTTTTCTTCATCCAAGCTCAGAGGCCTGATGGGTTTCTGCATAACTGAATAAATATATTATCTTTCTCATGGAAAAAAAAAAAAAACAACCCAACAAAAAACAACCACAATCCCCAGTATGAAGCAATGGCAAAGGCAAGTACAGACAAGGAGCTGACTCACTGAGACAGCACAATACCTCTGCTCCTGCTCAGAAGTTCGCTGAGCAGGAGGAGAGTAGACCCGGCACGGCTGTCAGTTTAACAGCTGCTATTCATAGTGCCACCGACAGCTGCAAAACCACGAAGAATCGTGTCATTTTATGCATCTGCTGCTCCTTTGGAGGAAGTTCTGGGCAACTGCAGAGAGAAACGCTGCAGTTGGGGGAAGATGTACAAGGTGTTCATAATGAAGACCTGAGAAGAAAACACGTGCACAGGCACAGACTAGCCCGATTTCACTGTCACAACTCCCACTGAAGAGAGGGGAAATTATAGGGGCTTTTCTGGAAATAAATCAGGCCGCAAGCGACTTGCAGAGGATTAGAGAGAGCTGGGAACAAAACCATATTTAACTCAGTCCTTTAACCACTAAACAATTTCCAAGACCAAGCAGAGGGTAAGCCTTTCTCTGTTGAGGTCCTACATCTGTGCAGAAGGCCTGGCACAGGGAGCTCCCAATCTCTGTCCAGGGCAGCAAGACAAACAAAAGAATTCCACCTGCAATTATGGGCTAGAACTTCATAGTCCAAGCCATTGTCAGCATGGTTTCCAATAGCTCTGACCACCTCCCAGTTCTTATGGTCTCTAATGAGTTCATGACTTTACAGTGCTAAAAGAGAGCTCACGTGGCTGCATTCTCCCACTAGGAGACAACTCCAGGCATCACTTTACATACAAAACCCCCAAGCCCACAAAGGCATGGCTACAGCAGCAGCACAGAAAGCTCTCCAGCTACCGTTTTTAATGAGAAACTGTCTCCAGAAACTCAGCAGCATATAATCAATGTAGATTAGTTTGGTATCACTGCAAGCAGGAGGCAGAATATAGAAGAAAAACCAAAGAGTCAGTGTTTACCTTCCATCAAAAAAGAAGAACTTGCCGCGGCCGTTCTTTTCTCCATGCACAAAGTTTCCCTCAAATCTGTCTGTCGATGAATAGGTGACTGTACAGAATCCATGTGGCAACCCATCATCATCTAGATGCCCTGAAATAAAATCCAGACACAGAACAAAAGAAGACATTAAACATTCTATAAAATTGCAAACCTGCTCTGATTATGTAGACGCTTGAAATGCAGTAGCTCCCCAGTGCAAAACAAAAATCTGCATCAAAACATTTTTGTTAGGAAGAGTGATGAGAGATTCAGTACAACTGAAGTCTGAACTTGTGTATCGCACTTTGCTTAAAATAAAGAATAAAAAGGGTCGGGATAAAAGAAAAGGGACGAGAGACAGGAGAGATAAGAATAAGCAAAAAGACATACTTCTAGGAGAAACAAGGTTCATCCTGTCGTAACGTGTGTTAATGTACGTCTTCAAAAATATAATAATTCTTTATCTAAAAGATGTATCTCCTGGTGAGAACAGAATAGATTTAGACTTCAATCCACTGGGTAAGAAAAGGTTTGTTTTTTCCTTTTGATAACACACGTCTTACAACAATGTGGGCATGCCACCTCATAGCTATATCCACAGGAATTTAAAGAAATAAAAGCGTGTAATATCTCTAATATTATGCCCTCGCAACACGCCTGTCAAGTTGCTATTTCATATTTTAAATGCTGCTCTCCAGCCACTTTCTGACGTGTTCACATTACACCCCCCCATCCCATTCCCCTTCCCTAGCCACACCAGTTCTCCCCATTTACAGCTGCTGTAAAAAAAAAAAAAAGAAGGACAAGACACTTGGATCCTCATCTGCGTGGGTCTGTATTTTACAGACTACAACTGGCCAGCTCTAATTAAGTTAAAGCGTAATAAGGCTCCTCTTGCATCTCCGTCTGCCTCTTGGAAGCCAAAAGCAAACGGAAGGAGAGTGTTTTAAACAATTTGCCTAGTTTACCTGTGTGAACCTGGGAGTCCTTAGCCCTTAGCGTTGGCAGAACATCTCTCTGACTGCAGAATGAAGAAGCCCAAGCTCAGCAGGGCTGCTTTCAGCACAGCGATCCACCAGACACGGGGGCAACAAGCTCCCATCGTGACATTTCAGCAGGTATATATTTTGCACGAAAACTGACGAATAAATCAAAGCTAGCGCATATTTACCTTCTTCCACATGCCTAAATAAAAGCTGACCTCTGATCCCCTGAGTCTCTTGGTGAGGCACACAAAGCCTATTAGAGATGAAAGACAGCACACGCTTCCATTTCCACAGGCTTAGGATCAAGCTCTCCTCCCTGACCAAATTTGGCCTAAACCGAAAAGGTTCGACACATGTATGGAAAGACAGAAACAAACTCCAGGGTGAGGGGGAGCAATCACAGCCCAGGCTGCTGCAGGCAGCAAGAGACACTCCAGTATTACCAAACCTTGAGTCCCATGCCCCGAGAGAAAACAAGCTGTGCAGACAGCAGCGGGCAAAGCCAGACACCCACGTGGCTTTCAGAAGTCCAACTATGCATGCCCCGATTGCAACAGGTCCATGGGGATTAGGAGGGAAAATGGTCCCCAGAGGACACACACATACCCACATGTTCTTCTCACATCACCATGAGCTACTGCTTCTTTGGGATGCTTCACAGCCCCGCAGAGACATCCCAAACAGGAGTGGGATGGGGCAGCATCTGGTTAAGAAGTTCTCTCCCACGAGGCACACGAGCTGCCCCAGCCTTTTAATAACCAGACTGACTGACTGAAGAATGCTACACAGCACAGGGTACTTTGTCAGGATATATTTCCTTTTGTCTATTTCAAAGTAAAAGTTCATTTAAAAAGCCAAACAAACAGACAGAGAAACAAACAAACAGAGAAAGTGAGAGAAGAAGAAAAGAGAGATAGAAAGATAGAGAAGGGAAAAAAACAGCTAAGCGAATATTCCTCAAAGAAACCAAGTAAGGCTGTGCAGGTTTATTGCCCATCTCTTGGCACTTGTAACACTCAGTATGAAAATGCACCTAGAGAGGAGGTGTGCAGGAGGAAATAACGGTGAGACATCTGAACTCATCTTAAGAGCCGAGATTCCCTCCTCCACCCTTCCCACACGTGCTCCCCAAAGTTTCTCTCCTACCTGCCCTGGCACTTGCCTGCCACCCTCTGCAAGTGGCACAAGCCACCAAGTTGGCAGAAAATTCTTCCCTTTATCGTTTTGTTGTTGGTTTGGGACGCTGGCCCTGCATCCCAGCAGAGCTGGGTGGCTGGGAGCTGACTGTCCCTCTTGGGAATAGCAACCCCCCCTTTCTTCCAGTTCAGCCACCTCAGGAAATATCACCATGCTCTTAAATTTTAAGTTCCCGCTCCAAGCTAGACTGAAAAGAGTTAAAAGCTTGAAAAGTTAATATAACCCATCAGACAGTGCTCACTGCCCAAACCCAGAGAAGTAACACAGTAAAAAGAGAGAGCAAAAGTAGGAGGGGGAAAAAAGCTATACCACTAAAGGTGTTTTAATAACTTTGAAGAGGAACCCTTTAAAATAAAAAGGGCAGCATGCTGCTCTCTCCAAACAGAAAAAAAAGGGTTTTTTTATTCCCATTCAGCCAGGACACCCCTTCTTGTAGAAAGGAAAGGTTTTAGCAGTTATGCCAATTTAACTAATTTGACTGACATTTCTGATGTGGACACCTTTTTCAGAACAAAACCAACTACATCAACGTTGATGGTTTTAATTAAAGGCTTCAGTTTTATCAATATGGGAAGGGTATACTGGTGTAAATTAACAAACCCTAAACAATACACTATCAGTTTTCCCCTCATTACAGGAGCAAAACTTTTATTAAACACTTGGATTGAAAAAAAAAAAGATGTGCTGGCAGTATTGATACATTATACTATTAAAAAAAAAACAACAGCCCACAAACTTGCAACTTTGTTCTCTGTGACTATCTAGTTTTGTCAAGATTTTGCTGGAATGCAAAGCCCAACACAAAAGCTGCCACGCTTACACACAGCACGCATGCCAGGACTTTGGCACGCTAGGATACAGGCTATCCCAGAGATTTAAATGGTCAGCTTTGATCCGATGGCCTCTAAAAAGAGTCTTAATCTCAGCCATAGCACAAAGAATCCAATTCTTCTAATATGCTAGAGATTTTCCCCTATTGGAGAAAAAAAAAAAAAATACCCCCCAACAAAACAAGAGACATTCAGTCTCTTTTAGTCAATAGGGGGAAAGAAGTAACTTCAAGTTTAATTACATAGATGCAACTTTTCTTATACAGCTGAGGCCTTAGGCTCTAATTCTGTTCCTGATGAAGCCAATAGAAAAAATTCTTATTTTTTCAGTGGGAGCAAAGCACAGTATTGCACTCCCTTTGTCACCTCTCTCTTCCATTTGTGTAAACAAACCCAAACTGCCTAAACATCTTTTTAAATAATTGTAAAACCTCACTTTTGTTACTCCTTTGAGGGTCTTTCAAGATATCCTCTTAAGCTCAAACCATGAACTTTTCAAGAAAAGGAGTTACACTAAGGAGGGGCTAGTTCACAATGAAGCACTTACCAAGAACACTGATGCATACAGACCAAAGATAAAAGCCCTTTACTGTCAGAATTACTGTCACTTAACAGAAGACACACAGTTGTGCATCATCAATAAGAGATTCTTGCCACAAATAGAATCATAGAATGGTTAGAGTTGGAAGCAACCTTGAAGATCATCCAGTTCCAACCCCCCTGCCCTGGGCAGGGACACCTCCCACCAGACCAGGTGGCTCCAAGCCCCATCCAGCCTGGCCTTGAACCCCTCCAGGGATGGGGCAGCCACAGCTTCTCTGGGCAACCTGTTCCAGTGCCTCACCACCCTCACAGGAAAGAATTTCTTTCTGGAATCTAGTCTAAATCTCCCCTCTTCCAATTTAAAACTGTTACCCCTTGTCCTGTCACTACAAAGATGCCAGATGGGTATTTTAGGAATAACAATGAACCAACCTCTCCCCCCTTACAAATAAAAAAGATTTGATTTCTGTGTTGATTTCTGTCCTATTTCTAACTTCTTCTGGGTAGGTGCAGAAACACCCAGCCATCCTATTCACCCCAAAAAGAGCACCCGGCATCCCTGTCGCTCAGAAAAAACACAGTGCTGAACAACACATGCTTTAAAAACTCATTTCCTTAGCCCACAGAAACGCTAAGCAAACCCACAACATGGCAGAACCCTTTACTGGCGATAGGAGGGTCAAAACTTAGGACTCTTTGCCCAAGACCCAATTATAAATCCATAGATTTGAGGAGCTGCGGGTGGTGGTGGGGGAAAGACACATCCCTTAGGGTGCAGGGCAGCCCCCCATCCATAGCACCCGTGTCCCAGGAGCTTCTCTGTGGCTGTGTCACCCCACATTTAGGCAATAAACCCAGATTCACCCGGCAGCAGCTGCTTAGCTGCCCGTCTGCTGTCGGGCTAAGCCGTCCCGCTGGCTGTCTGATGGGGGAAAAATGTGCTTAATCCATCCCCCCCCTGCCATGGGACACAGGGGCCAGACGGGCGCCTCGTCGCTTCCTCCCCTTCACCCCAACAGCTGGGAAAAATCAAATAAATAAAAATAATATAATAATCCAGGATGGCTCTTCCTGGCAGGACTCTGAATTCTTTGGGGGAGCCGGCACCTTCACCCCAGAGCGGTGGGATGGGGTGAAGCCCCCCCCCGGGCTCCCCCAGACGGCCCGGCAGGGTGCCCACCGGCGATGTCCTCCCAAAGGCCTGCACCCCCGTGTGTTTTTTTTTATTAAAAAGCTCTGGAAGGGCGAGCTGTCCCCTCGGGAAAGGCGAGCGGAGAACGGGGTGGACGCTACCCACGGGATGGGCCTTCCCGCTCCCGTGGGGGCGATGGGGTACGGCCACGGTCGCCCCCTTCCCTTTACCGCTTGCCCTCCGGGGGGGGCTGCCCCTCGGCCCCCAGAGCGCTGACACCCCCCGGCACCTCCGCATCCCCCCGCCCCAAAGCGGGGGGGCTACCGCACCGCCGGCGAGGTAGCCCGTCTCGCCACCGCACCGAGGGACGCAGCCTCCCTGGGGGAGGTACGGTACGGTACGGCAACCGCGGTACGACACCGGGACGGGGACGGGCCAGACCCACCCGCACACCGACACCGCCCCGTTACCGGCAGCGGGCCCGGCACCACGACACGGCT